TTCATTTACTATAAGATTTTACGCCAGCAACTAACGGCGTAATTCTATTCAGTCTGTAATGTAAATATGTAAGATTTTACGCCGGTAACTGACGGTGTTATTTCTTCCAAACGGTAGTTATAATACGCAAGATTCTACGCCGGTAACTAACGGCGTAAATTTTCCAGTTGGTATATATACATACAGAGAGATTTTACACCGTTAGTCAATGGCTTAAAATCTTACAGTATGAACACCGACACAGATAGTGGAGTGAAATCGTACAGTCTATAGACTGTGTTGGTCACATATTACACCGTTATCTAAATATTGCTCTGCACGCCCAATTTAATTTACCTGCCGGTCGCTGCAATTGATTTTTGGAAGTTTGCCCTTTATGGAAGAAACTAGAAACTATGGTCTGGCATTCGTGAAGTTTCTCCTGATGGAACGCCGTGCTACACGAGACTGTATCCAGTTCACCTAGATAGCTTAATGCGCGGGTATGTGGCATGAGTTTACGCTGACTGATAGTAAAAACCTAAATCCTGCAGCAACTTTAAAGTTTGTCGTCTTTTATGCAAGAAACTAGAAACTATAGTTTGGCATTCGTGAATTTCTCCTGTGGGAGCGCCGTGCTACACGAGACTGTATCCAGGTCAACAACCAGAAAAGTTAATATGCAGGTAGGTGGCATGAGTTTACGCTGACTGATAGTAAAACCTAAATCCTGCAGCAATTGTAGCAATTACGACTTCATATTTCAGGAGAGCTTTCAGCACCAAATGGAAGGCCGGTGTCGTAAAAACAACTGTCAAAATCTTTCCGCGAAAACCGCCACTTGCAGCCTGTAGCCTGATAATTTGCGGGTTGGATGAGTCGCTACCGGTAAGCATGTTTGAGATCTGTTTTAGCCATGAAATAATTAGGTTTTAAGAGTTTGATAGCGTCATCTAGTCAATGAAATTTAAAATACCGCGTGCTGATAAACTCATTGACCGCATGCCCATACGGTCGAGAGCAGTCATGGATAAGCCGTACCTCGGAAGAGTTCGGTTTGAGAATCGCTCCTGAAGCGCTTACCACCGTAGGTTTCGTAACGGTAATAACGTGGTTTCCTTGCTGAATTTCGTCGCGAATAGTTTTTTCCACCAACAGTTTAATGGTGGGATTAGTAGCGGATTTATAATTGCGCATATTTACTTCGGTGAATTGCGTATTAGGGTCTATTAATAATTCCAACCTCTGAAGGCTTACTTATTGTGAACACGGGGAGAGGACGAGGAAGGGTTACCGACTGTACCCTTCTTGAATGCAGCCAAGCCATTCAATCGCTCAAATGCTTTTTCTCTGTTTGTTTGTTTTTTTGTTTGGGACCGTTAATCATTTATCACCTGGGAGGGGGGGGGGTGGGGTATAGGGTCCGGGCATTTTTTTTTTAGTCAGAATGAAATTTATCAGACCCCCCACCCATATACTCTTTTAGCGAAAATTTATCCAACCTCCCTTCCCCCAGAACGCCGAAAAATCCCTCTTTTCGGAAAAATACCCCTTCCCCATAGACGATATATTGATTCTGCTCGCTTTACTTTTCCCCTTTCTCTATATTTTATTCAAACAGGGATTTTCACTACTTTCCTAGACGCTATAAATATCAAAGTCGTTCCCATCGACAAACAACACCTTTTGTTCGGTGATATAAAATTTTATTGACTTATGTTAATAACCTCGCTTACAAAGATTACCAAAAAAATTTTTATAACTGGAGTCACTCAGTAATCTTAACATATCTTTGTTGGTACAGGTAATCGCACTAATTCGAGTTACATTTGCTATAAATATCCTCGTTTTCTTTTTTATCAAAATCAAGATAATTGCACGACTTTTTGAAAATTACGAGTGCTTACTCACTCCAAATTGCCTACGAAAAATCACTTCTAATTTATTTATAAATGACCTAATTTTCCAGATACCTTCACCTAAGGACGTAGAAACAAAGAAAAGGTAAAACACGTACAAAATGATTCATTCAAACCCTGCAAACATCATTGGGCGTTCGGTCAAATCAACGTGTTTAGTCAAAGGGGAACCTTACAAATACTCCAACCTCGATTTTAACTCGGTACAAATGTTATCAAAAGGCATTTTTAGCTGAGACATAAACGTATTCAACGCAATGCAATTTACGTTTATGCCTCCAAATTTTGCATAAGACTACACAGCTGTTACTTTGTGCGTGTTCTATGATGAAAAAAATGTTATATGATAAAAAAAACCCCATCCCATTTATTTGTTAAAAATAGACAAAATCATATTAATTTTAAAACATCTAAAATTAAAAAATAAAGAGGCCGGTACCATTGCTGTTCCTAAATACTACATGTAAAACGCCACAACCTTAATGCACGTTTAATCTTATTCCCAGATAGACAAGTACTTGGATGTTAAGATGTGTTGATGTGCAAATGTGATTCGACTGAAAATAAATAATTAATACAAATATCTAAGCACAAATATAACAACAACAACAAAAACGATAAAGCTACATGAAATAGAAACGAACTTACAATTTGTGGCGCAACCAGGTTCGGTAGTAAAACTCTTAAACAAAAGTAAAACGGCGCTGGCAAAAGCTTATGAACGACTTACTTAGTTGATCAACTCGCAATGAAAATTATCTGACGGATAAAAACGCTTATTCTGGCGAGAATAAAAGCGCTACCGGCGTTATGTAATTATTACACAGCTTCACACAAAAACTTAATTGAAGAGCAACATAACCTACAACAAGTAGTTCAGTTGAAAGAAAAGCAATATGAACTTGACGATAAAGAGAAATGCAAACTCTAGTTGCTGCAATTGCAGACACCTACACCCTTGCTCTGAAATTAATGTGTTCTAGTAAAAAACACCCTTCTACTCGTAAATATAAACAAAATTAAAATCATCTACATTTTAAAAACGTTTGACTAGATAAAAATAAAAGCACTAGCAGAGACATACGCTTCAGGCTGTTATCAGTGTGGGTTCATTTTAAAAAATCTCCAACACCGACAGCTTTTCATGTATAGTACAAGCCACAAGAGAACATCAAATATTGACAACACCATGCAAACTGGCGCCTAAAAGACAAAACAATCTGACTTAAACTTGTAAACTGATAAAGAGAGTGTAACTGGTAAACTTTCAGCGTCAGTACAGGCCGAAGCGGATTTTCACGTTTGAAATTTTTGACATGTTTTTTAATGTTTTTCTTGGCTTAATCTTGAAAGAAAATTAAATTGGAAAAAAGTTTCTTTCAAGTTTCTTTCTCTTGCTCGGAATATTTAAGCTTTGAAAGCCAACAAAATGTTGGCTTATTGAGACGCAGTACAAGCTAACTACTGTTACAAGCTAACTTAAACTTATAAACTGATAAAGTGGCAAATTTTCAGCGTCAGTACAGGCCGAAGCGAATTTTCACGTTTGAAATTTTTGATATGTTTTTCAATGCATTTCTGGGCTTGATCTTAAATGAATATTAAATTGGAACAAAGTTTCTCTCAAGTTTCTTTCACCGATATTTTTTAAAAGCTTTGAAAGCCAACAAAACGTTGGCCAGTTACACTCTTTTACGGCGATATTCTTCTCATGTAGTTTATTTTATATCCTGAATTATATTTCAGAAAAATACAAAGTGTTTTATGAACAGTTTAAATAATGGAATGCAAAGAAAGGATACGTGATTTTTTCATAAAATCATTTCATCGGCTGTAATTCAATTAAAACTGGAAAACATAAAGTTAATTGTCATTGCACTTGACCTTTCATATGCAAATGATACTTGCGTGTTTCGCTCCAAGGAATGTGTAAACAATATAAGTGTAAACATGCTCAAAACTAACTTTTAGACTTCTGGTATGCAAATGAAAAAAAAAGAATCCAGGACGCCTTGAGTTTTTCATTCGCTTGCCACGCTGCCTCCGCGAACGCACTTGCTTTTAAACGTGTCGCACGTGACGTGCAAGAGTTATGTAATAGCTAATTAAGCACTTCAGGAAGAACGCGATCGTCGCGCAGCGCCCTCTCGTCAAGGTAAATTTTATTTCCACGATCTGATGGCAAGTAATCGGTACATTTGTGCTGAAAAATGGTTTTAAACTTACAGGGAAGAGTTAATAGTTAGTGAAGTTGATAATTTTTTTCTTGACGATTTTTTTTTTAATTTCGTACTTTGAGTAGGCGGGTACTCTGTTCAAAGTAGACGGGTGCAAGTACCCGGGAACCGGCTTCTAATAAAAACCCTGATACTTCGGCGGTGCACCAATCACTCGAAGACATGATTACGAGCTGCATAAATATGGAGCTCAACCATTGATTGACGCAAACGCTCCCTCGCTAAGAAGTCAGCTCAGTCAAACCTTCCGCATTGATTGTGAAAGAAAATATCGCTATGGGTGGGTGTGTAATTCTCGATTAATTTAGTCACATGATTAATTTACCATCGATGCTGCGATCAGTGGACTACGGGACGGTGGATTAGAGAGTATGCCTGGGTACGATACTGGAATGCGGTTAAATGATAACCTACAAATACTGACACTCATTTGATAATATTACAACAAAATGAAACGGACAATTCATCTTTTTTATAGAGAATTACTCATAAAACTGGGAGTAATAATTTGGATATCTGCCATATACTGCATGTCTGAGGGTAATTATAATTAGTATAAGTAGTATTTCTGTGACAGTTTCTGGTCTTTCTACTTTAAGAGGATTTGTTAAACTTAGAGTTTATTGACAGTTATAATTAACCCATTACACCCTAATATCAGAAGGCATATTCTCCATACTTTTTCTATACCTTTCTGAATAGGAAAAATTGTTTCACAATCAAGAGCTTCTTTAGTTGCTGATCATTTCCCTTATTCTCCTGACCTTAATGTTTGAATCAAGGGTGATCTTGTTAGGAGAAAATAGATGCCAGTCACTCTTAGAGGTTAAAGGGTTAAAAGACATGCGTTGTAAAGTTTACTCACCTTGAACAGACTTTGTTTGTTCATTCCCATCAGTTCTTTTTCTCTTTAAAGAGGTGTTTGGAGCTTTTTCTGTGGAGAGAGGAGAGAAATATCACATTATGGAATGCTACCTAGTGTGGAGACCAACAAACTTCCATTAAGAAGACAAGAAAAAAGTAGAAATGATGGATGTCTCAACGTCCGTTGTGCTGTCTCACTTCCTCATTGTTTCAATGTTACTTTCTGTCTTAAAAATCAATCTTTCCCCCTTTTTGCAAGAGGAGGCTTTAAATGAAAATGTTATGAGAAATTACACATTGATTAATTTTGAGTATTTTGTAGTACTACTATATTAAATGTTTGACCCAATGGTGCTGAATGACCTGTAAGCAAATTCGAATACATGTAAATATCTATTCTTTGATCACTATAGTTCTGTGTTTGAGAACTAACTTCTATCCTTTTCATTGATAGAAGGCTTCATCTACACACTAAATCTCTTTCTGAGGTTTACTCAAATAGTGCTCAGTAGGTAAGTAAGCTTTATCGACCACCAACATATTCGAGCCGTCTTTGTGAAGTATATTTCGATTTTTTTAGTTACTCCCAGTACAGTCTGTCCATCGGTATGAGAGAAGGGTAACCAAATTGAGTGCTTGGGTCACATAAATTACCCTGTTTACAGAGATCTATAGAGTACAATTCTGCAAATTGAAAACCATACATTTCTAAGCCAGATATTTAAAGAAATTTGTTAATTCTGGTAAGCTATTGGCTTAACAATATATTTACTTCTTTGCGCTAACCCAAAATAAAGGAGTTGGATCAGTTTGCTGAAAAATGTCAAAAGGTCATGAGGTCATCTCAGTGTTGCCTCCCTCCATCCTCAATCTCCATCTCTCAATTAAATAGAGAGAGCACAAGTATAAGATCTGATCATTAAATTTCTTGAATGATACCTGTCTGAGTTTGGTGAAACAACAAACATGCTTGAGGGGGCATTAAAAAAAATATAACATGCAAACCTCTGCTAATGTGTTTTAAAGCAATGACAAAGACAATGCCCTATTTATTCAGCTAAAGACAGCTCTCCAAAACACTTTGTATGTGCTCACCTGAACCCTGCAGCAAAAACTTTCGTGCAGCAATGTACTCCTCCCCCTGAATAGTTGTTGTCAGTTTCAGCTCAGTCAAGTCAAACTCCTTCAGAACGTCCTTTGTCACAAGATATTTCTGTGCCATGTCATTCAGGTGACCTGTGCAATAGTCATACCACAGGGCATCCAGTATCTCCAATGAACTACATAGTGCTGTCAATATCAAACTTCCTGGCTGCACATCCAGAACCAGAACTTTGCGCACTTCTTTTAAATACTGTAGAAAGCCATTTAATTCCTCAGGTTTAGATGGGTCAACTATCTTGAAGTGCTTGTGTGCGATATAATTCAAAACCTCTTGTGCGTTGGGTACAGCCTCGTTTCCAACACCTGCTTCTTCATCGCTTCCTGTTCTTCCTGAGAATGGTTGACCAGCTGATGCAACAGATTCCACTGCCTTACACTTAACTCCTGTAACTAACAACTCATGACTTCCTGCCTGGCTATCCTGTGTGTCTTGAGGCATTCCTTCTGACGTTTTAGTAACTATCAGCCCATCGCTACCAGCCTGAGTACCCTGACTGGCTATAACCACTGTTCCTGATGTCTCAAGTTGTGGATGAGGGTCTGGGATGGTCCCACAATCAATCCATATTGGAATTTTAACTGTAAGGGGAAAGTTCAATCATGTTCTATGACATCTGAATCACTAATTTGCAGTATTCACTGACCAGCCCTATTCTTTGTATTAGAGTTTATTGACGGTTATACTTAGATGACATGCATTGTAAAGTTTACTCACCTTGAACAGACTTTGTTTGTTCATCCCCATCAGTTCTTTTTCTCTTTAAAGAGGTGTTTGGAGCTTTATCTGTGGAGAAAGGAGAGAAATATCACATTGAGGAATGCTACCTGGTTGGGAAACCTGCAAATAGACCTCCATTTACAGGACAAGAAAAAAGTGGAAATAATGGATGTCTTAACGTCCGTTGTGCTCTTTCACTTTCACATTGTTTCAAAGTTACTTTCTGACCTTAAAATCAATCTTGCCCCCTTTTTGCAAGAGGAGGCTTTAAATGACAATGTTATGAGAAATAATTTGTAGATCAATTCTGGGTATTAAAGGGATTAAAACAAAGCAACAAAATAGGAGTGTTACATAAAAAAAGGAAAAAGTCTAATATCCCAAAGGATTCCCAGTCCCTCCGCTATAGTCCTCCTTTGTTGTTTTATCCAGGACGTTCTCCCCAATCCCCTTCCCCATTCATATTGGTTGAAATACATAAATTGCTGATAGGCATGTGGTATATGCCTTCTACAGCTGTACCTGCTGCTGTCCAAGCTTCTTTTGCATTTCTCTGTGCTTGTTTTGTTGAATCACGTGGAACTGCACCTAAAAAAATAAGTTTAGGTTAAAGGACAATTTATTACTCCAACGTAAACTGAGCAAATACATGTTAAAAAGCCAAACAAAACTCACAACCCCAAATGCCCATATTATTATTGGATCTTTAGCGGCACACTCGTTGGGATTAGATCATGTGCAAGTGCTTATGTTTACCACTTATAGATATGGCTTGGTAATTTATGCCTGCATACTTCCATCACAGTACCCGAATCTCATGAATATGGAAAAATACAAATTATGTAGTCAATAAATGAACTAAACACAGGTAAAACTCAAATGTTAAACATGTTTACTATATTGGTGCTAAGTAGAAGTGAAAAAATACTTTGTCTCCTTTCAGCTTTATTAGAAAAAGTCAGAAGAGTGAGCAGTGTTGTGTAAGAAAGAGTAAGGCAAGCAAAAACATATTGATATTGTTTGATCCAATTGCTAAATGAACCATAAGCCAAGATGAATACTGCACGTGAATTAAGCTCCTGTTTTATTACCAACTGTTTGAGAACTAACTCATTTCCTTCTTCATTGCTTCAAGACTTTATCTACACACTCTTTTTCTGGAGTGTCCATCTGAGCAGTCCAGCTAAAGCTTCCCAGAAAATTGTCATAAATTAACTCAGAATACCCTCCTAGGAGGAGAGTTGAAGTTAAAGTTAAAGCTACTGTACCACTAAATGTTTCAGTTATCAATAAAAATAACATTACTGACCCTAAAAAAGACACCAACCAAGTTGACCATGCTTGTTCAACTTTCAACAGTACCTGCTTTATGTCTTGAGTAAAGTAACTACAGAAAGTACTTCCCATGCAAATGTACTTCACTAAGTACATATTTAAAAAACTCTGCAACAATGTTCCTAATCTTGTGGGTAAGATTATTACATAACAATTAAGTTTACCTTTCCTGAGTATTTACCATTTTTGACTATTTGTTTGATTCAGTTCTATAAATAATTTATGGTTATCATGGGTCCAAGTTGACTCAACACTGATTCAACTTTTATCAGACAGCCTGGTTTATCAGTTATCAGACAAGTTAAGGCTGAAACATTTAAATGTAAGTAAATTTACCAAAAACAAGGTTCTTCATCTTTATCACAAGACTCTTACAAGGCTCCTCCCAGCTATACTTCTCCAAGTACTTTTCACGTAGAAATCTTGACTCTGAAAGTCGCACGTCTCTCTCTTTCTGACGGACACGCTTGATTTCTCTGGCCCACTCTTTAGGATCTTCAGAGTCTACCACACTCTGTGGGCCTAAAGGCACTTTCTTCAGAACTTCTCCAAGCCCTGAATTACCACTGACAAGTACAGGCAGACCAGCAGATAACGCTTTCAGAGCTGTTGTTCCAAAACCCTCCGTCCTGGATGGCATTATTGCAAGATCTACTTCAAAGAATAAGTTTGCCAGCACTTCTCTGTTATCATCAAAGCTGCAAACAAAAAGCTGATTACGACTAATGCCATGGTGGAGCAAATTTTCAGCTACAATATCTCTTTTTCCTCCAGCTGCACAGACAAACTTGAGTTTGTATGATTTGTCTTTCAACTCAGAAATTGCTTTGGCAGCTATGTCGTACCCTTTGACATTGAAATCTTCACAGCTGTCACCACTTCCAATTACAAGAATATGGAATGTTCTTCTTTGTTTAGTGGCTTGCTCTACTGCCAAAAATTCTGAGAAAATGCTTGGAGTAAGGTCAAAAACTTTTTCCTCCTGTTTAGCTGGACAAAGGTAACACTTGTAAGCTTCGGCCAGCTTAGGTCCAATTGTGATAACTTGATCAGCCATTTTACAGAGTTGGATTTCTGTTTCTTGCATTTTTTGACCTTCTGAAATGTCTTTGTACATTCCATCTTCCTCAGGAGCAGAGTGAACAACTTGCATCCATTTGCAATGACTGTAATTTGGATTTCTCTTCATGGATGCAATTTGTCGGCCAAGGTGAACTCCATGACCAATGACACAGTCTATTGTATGGTCTCTTGGAGGAAAGGACAGGCAAAGAACTGGCTCAAAACCAGGAACTCTATCTGCTTCAACAAGCTTCACATTGTGACTTTCCGCACTGCTCCTGTCTGCTTCACTGCAATTTGGAAGCAAGACACTAACATCCACATTGGGGTGTTTAGCTAACTGGATGGCCAGCTCTCGGTTGATAGTTGACAAATCCCCATTAGTGGATGATTTCCACTCACTACTTAGCAAAGTGACTTTCAGTGTCATGTTTTCCTGGTCTTCCTGTGATGTACAGGCCACACCAGGAATTGTGAAATCCTACAACAACAAAACAAGAATGGTATTGACAATAAGCTGTAAAACAATAATAATTAAATCACAATAATGCATGTCCACTTAATATGTAAAGTCAATTCTTTTGGAAACTTGTAGTTAAGTTTTATACTTTGCCAAAAAGTCGGAGACGTGTAAAATGAGACAAATTTAAACCAGGAAAATATGAAGTTGCCTTAGAGATGACTACACTGTCACTCTCACTGATAACAACCATTACAGTTACAAGGAATTAAATTTGAAAGTAAAAATTATCCTCAAAGGGTCTTCCATTTCAACTCACTTTGAAATTGGTACGTGTAGTCTCATTGAAGAAATTTAGGTAAAAAAAAACAAGGACAAATTTGAATATTTTTGTCAAAATCAAAATAAAAGTTTGGTATTTGAAATAATTTAGATTTTTTTTTTTGTAATTTAACCCTTCAACCCCCAACATTGGATTGTTAATTCTCCCCTGTAGCTACTACACATTTCCTTATAAATTAGTCACAAGAATTTGTTGTTAGATCAAGATAACAGTTTCTACCTGGTAAGATTAAGTATCCTCATTACCTGTTTGCTGGATAAAGCATGAATAATATTGGAAGAAGTGACTTATTTATCACTTTCACAAGTTAGAGGGTTAAGCAGTTGCAGAGAACAAGATTCTTCCACGGGATTCTGCTGAATCCGATAAAAGACAATACCAATGTATTTTTGAAATCCAAAACATGGCCAAATTGTAGTTTAATACTGACTGAGCCTTCTTTTCAAAGTCTTCACATGGATAGAAATACCATGATATTTTATGAAAACACTGATGACAATCAAAATCCTCTTTTAAAGCAATGCTCTATAGCAAATTTCTTATCTGCTGAAGTATCCACCTCTCTTTAGTGTGTAATCACTCATTATTCTCAAGAAACTAGGAATCTGCTTTATACCAACCAACCGGATGACACAACAGCATTCTTGAATTAGAAGACACATTGCAATATATTTGTGGAGTGGTTGGTCACTAACATCCATAGAGGCTGGATCATTTAAAAATGTAAATTGGTGATCTCAAACAAATTCCCACAGCTTATGTTTAGTGATTCAATCCAAGGTAAATGAAAAATCAGCAGTGTGAAAGGTGTGAAAAAGTTACAAGATTAACAAATAGGGAACTGCAAATGCACAAATCCATGTCCAGAAAAACCTCCTCTGATCAAATCCCAAAAGTAATTTAACAAAGTGCATGATTAAATAAGTTGATTGAACTAAAAAATATTTACATACTGTATGTTCACCTTATCTGTTGAGTTGGTAGGGACAAAAGAGATTTTTCACATGAGCCCTTTCTAAATTCTGACAGACACATGACCAACAACCAGGGTACTTTCTTAAGGCAGGAAGAGATAAAGGACCCTAGAAACAAGGTTGGGTCTTCATTCCCGTGAAGGGATCTGATCACAATTTTTAATAAGATGTTTCATTTGAGACATTATGGTTCGAAAATATTCTATGATATGTATGTAAGCTGACTTTTTCAAACTTTGTGACATAATCCAGAAGTTTACAGCTGTAATTACTCTGCCTTCAACTTCAGGAGTGAGTTGCTGATTATGGAAAATAAATCCATATTTTAAATGAACGAGTTATCCTCCACAAATGTCTTCTTAGTATGTTAAAAATGAGATTTCAATTTGAAACATCTCTCATGCGTGGAAATCTAAGCATTTCAACTGAACGAAATTCCACAATCCTGAAATTAAAGTGTTTCACAGACAATGGATAGTCCGTCTGTTATTCGGACAAGTGGACCGAAAACGTACGCAATCCGTGGTACCTCGTTTTTTCGCACCATCTCGTCTATAACACCTCACAGTTGAAAATTCATGCCATACAACGAAGGCACAGACAATGCAAATTCCGGGAAAACACGCACAACAAGTCACACTTCTGACGTACATTGAATTGAGAAAGTTTGACAAAATTAGATACATCTCTAATTTAGTGGACTTCTTCGGAAGAAATAACTTTGAGTTGACAAAGAAGAAGAGCTTTACGCGAGTTTCCAGTCAACGCAAAAGGTTGCAAACTCAGCAAGTTTGTAAAGCGCCACGAACGCTGGGAATCTGAGATTTCAAATTTGCATGTTTCCTCACGATAAATAGCTTAAAGGCAACCTACATGTACACATTTGAAGACATCAAGAGAATCTTTATATCTGAAAGTGGCATTGAACAGGTCCTGAAATGCACAGAAATTGTAATTTCCTCAATCACATACCTTTGACTACTAAATCACGTGTAAACTGTTGCTGATTATTGCCACTGGTTTCCACTGTTAAAAGCCTCTAAAAGGAATGACCACAACTTCGCTGGTGAACTAATCACTCGAAGACATGATTGCGAGCTGAAGAAATATGGAACTCAAACCATGATTGATGCAAACGCTCCCTCGCTAGGAAGTCAGCTCAGCGAAAGATAACCCTTCCGCATTAACGGTGAGAGTAAATTTTGCTATGGGTGGCTGTGTAGTTCAAGATTAATTTGGTCACATGATTAATTTGGTCACATGATTAATTAACCATTGATATGTGGTCAGTGGACTACGGGACGGTGGATTGGAGAGTATGCCTGACAACGTCCTTTGGGACACTGACACTGGAATGCAGTTAAATGATAACCTATGAACACTAACACTCATTTGATAATATTACAACAAAATGAAGCGGACAATTCATCTTTATTATAGAGAATTACTCATGAAATTGGGAGTTATAATTTGGTTATCTGCAGTATACTGCATGTCTGGGGGTAATTTCCTCATTTCGCACATCTTTCAATTTTTTTCTAAAATATCTAGGAAGCTGGGGATAAAAAAAACCTTTTTGGCCTGTTATAGCTCAATAAGAAACTAGGAATCTGCTTTTTACCAACCAACTTGATGACACAATACCATTCTTGAATTGCGAGACACGTCACCCTATACTTAAGGAGGGGTTGGCTGCTTATAAAAAAGTCTTTCCTTAAGAAACTGTTAGGGCTTCAGGATAAGGGCAGCATAAACATCACACTGAATTCTGGTAGTTCTACGGTTGGCTTTCTCTTTTAGCTCTTGAAATAAAAGAGTCATTCTTGATTCTTACTAAAAACCAAATATTTTTCCTACACATATATAATAAATCTCTTACAGTACATATTAAATCGTCACTGGAAAGTGTTATTCATACCCTTTTATATCTCTGATAACCTTTCTAACTGATGTTTTTTAAGTAAAGTTTCATTTCCAAAATTTGACATAAACTTGTTGCCATTTCACTACTAACATTATCACAGGCTAACTAACTTTGAAATCTTGAAATCACTTGTTTAGAATATGACCTTTTAATTTTTAAACTAAATCCAAACATTTAACAGATCAGCATGTGGTAGAATCAATACATTACATGTACAAAATTCTTTAATTTAATTTCATACAAGTAATACAAAAAATGCAGAAATACACATTGAAATAAATTTGTAAGTTAATAGATGAGAAATTATTGAAAAAATCCCTTCCTTTCTTCAAAAAAGTGGTGCTGGCAAACAATCTACTCTCCCATTTGTGATCAAAATCGTTTGTTGAAAGAAAGAACAGACTCAAGGGAGACTTCTTTCCAAGCAACTTGAGGGGAACGTCAGACTAAGTTATGTTAAGACTTAAGAAGAAAAAGAAACTTATAAGTCACAAAATCAAATTTGATTCGTTTCCATATGAAATAAGAATGGGAATGGGTTGACCATAAAACTAAACACCACAACATACAGAGGCTTGTTTTTGGACCAGACAGTTTATTAAATGTATATATCCTACCCAAATAACACCCTAGACTATTACATAACAAAGATATTGGACGAATACACTAAACCAACGGTCCAGTAATCAAGAATAGATTACATACACGAATGAGATTAAGACACACTCAAAACTGTCGATGGTGTGGGTGGGAGGGAAACTAGAACTCTCTTGAAGCTAGAAATAAACTTGTTGCTTGCTTCTTTGCTAGATTACTAATAACACGTGCACAGATACGTAAGCGGTAATACTAAAGTAATTTCGCAATTAATGCATGAATAGCCATTATCTCTACCCAAGTCTGATGATTAATATGCTAAACAAATTGCTCAATCTTAAAGAAAAGGAAAAATACTTATTTGCACCCTGCCTGTACCCAGTTCAGGCCTCTCAGTTATCGATGTCTAGATTCATACTAATAGAGATTAATATTCACCTAAACACCACAACAGAAAGAGACTTGTTTTGGGACCAGACAGTTTATTAAATATATAAATCCTACGTAAATAACACACTAGACTATTACATCACTAAGATATGGGACGAATACACTAAACCAACGGTCCGAACTCAGAAAAGGAGGAGCGGAAGTGTTAGTTAGTGTGAGGGTGTAGCGGGTTATGTCGTAGGATGGCTTTACAAAGCATGTAAGCGGAATGAAGCCGACCTGTTAAAGGCATGGTTAAATAGATGAGAATGGTGTCGGAGTGCCATTCGCCGAGAGCCTTAAACAGTTCAATGGGAACACCGCATTGGTAAGCAAATGATGCCCCACCCCTGCGAAGGGAGTGCCCGCGAAAAGCTTAGGGTCAAAACCGAGCGATGCAAGATGATTGCGCAGAAAGGAAGCAAAAGATCCACAGGAAAAACCGTGAACAAGCTGGCGGTCTCCGACCAGTTAAATGTCTAAGAACACCTGTTAGAACCCGAGGCCGTAAAGCGAAGCGCGTTGACGATGGCTGCCGTTGGAAATAACGGAGAGTGCGGAATGTAGGGAAGTGAGATTTCTACGCGCCCACGATACTAAATGGTATTACTACAGCGAATATTAGTGAGAACCCCCGGGGGAAGATTTTAAAATCAGCCTTAGTTAGTTGCTTACGCGGGTCAAAGGAGGTCGGCGACATGGGTAAAAGGTGGGATTTCCGAAACATGCCATAGAAGGCAACCAAACAAATAGCCCAGAACGAAGCCTCGATGCTACTTTCCAAATTAAACCGATCATGGAGCTGTAAGAGCATAGAGGACGAGATGGGGTGTTTCTGGCTTTTCGTTAGCCCTTTAGATCGATTGATACCAGTGATCAGTGACTTAAGCTGCCAGTTATCGAGCAGCGGGTTGAGCAGGCCAAAGTCCTTGTGAAGAATACCTATGATGTTCAGGTAGCTTTGAACGGAGCTTTAAGACTGCAGGCTAGGAAAGCGGCGCATGGAAGCAGTCGATCAAGCTGAACTGGGACCGGAGTGTAACCCATCTAGAGGCAGAACCTCACGTAGGTGTCGCGATGAGCTTTGAGAGGCCAACCGAGGGTCGTGTGCACCTAGAAAACACGAAGGAGTGATCATGAGACGACATGTGATCAGTCAGCGCCAAATTGGCTGCCGCAGCGCAACCTAAGCGTCCCCAGTTACGACGGAATAAAAGGATAACAGGTGAGGGTTCTCATGAAGGCGCGAAACCGAGTCGGTGATAGTGTTACGAGACCCTCGAGATAAGTGGCAGTTACATGGAAATTGTGGAGCGCAGAAAGCCAGAAAAGCGCACGGAGCTCCTGCGTAATGATTTCGTCGCTCGTGGTACCCTTATTGATGATCTGCACGGCCGCCTGGTTATCACTGTAAATAATAACTTAATGGTTTACCCAGAGGTGACCCCATCGCATAGCAACAAGAATTACAGCTAAAGTTTCTCTGTGGTTGTAGACAAGACCACGCTGAGTGGTCAAGTAACGGCGTAATGCAGTTTACATACTGTAAGATTTTACTCCGCTATCTGCGTCGGTAGATTAATCATAATTAATTTATATACAATCAAATTATATTACTGGCGTGAAATTTACATTACATATTTCACTTCATTTACTATAAGATTTTACGCCAGCAACTAACGGCGTAATTCTATTCAGTCTGTAATGTAAATATGTAAGATTTTACGCCGGTAACTGACGGTGTTATTTCTTCCAAACGGTAGTTATAATACGCAAGATTCTACACCGGTAACTAACGGCGTAAATTTTCCAGTTGGTATATATACATACAGAGAGATTTTACACCGTTAGTCAATGGCTTAGAATCTTACAGTATGAACACCGACACAGATAGTGGAGTAAAATCGTATAGTCTATAGACTGTGTTGGTCACATATTACACCGTTATCTAAACATTGCTCTGCACGCCCAATTTAATTTACCTGCCGGTCGCTGCAATTGATTTTTGGAAGTTTGCCCTTTATGGAAGAAACTAGAAACTATGGTCTGGCATTCGTGAAGTTTCTCCTGATGGAACGCCGTGCTACACGAGACTGTATCCAGTTCACCTAGATAGCTTAATGCGCGGGTATGTGGCATGAGTTTACGCTGACTGATAGTAAAAACCTAAATCCTGCAACAACTTTAAAGTTTGTCGTCTTTTATGCAAGAAACTAGAAACTATAGTTTGGCATTCGTGAATTTCTCCTGTGGGAGCGCCGTGCTACACGAGACTGTATCCAGGTCAACAACCAGAAAAGTTAATATGCAGGTAGGTGGCATGAGTTTACGCTGACTGATAGTAAAACCTAAATTCTGCAGCAATTGTAGCAATTACGACTTCATATTTCAGGAGAGCTTACAGCACCAAATGGAAGGCGGGTGTCGTAAAAACAACTGTCAAAATCTTTCCGCGAAAACCGCCACTTGCAGCCTGTAGCCTGATAATTTGCGGGTTGGGTGAGTCGCTACCGGTAAGCATGTTTGAGATCTATTTTAGCCATGAAATAATTAGGTTTTAAGAGTTTGATAGCGTCATCTAGTCAATGAAATTTAAAATACCGCGTGCTGATAAACTCATTGACCTCATGCCCATACGGTCGAGAGCAGTCATGGATAAGCCGTACCTCGGAAGAGTTCGGTTTGAGAATCGCTCCTGAAGCGCTTACCACCGTAGGTTTCGTAACGGTAATAACGTGGTTTCCTTGCTGAATTTCGTCGCGAATAGTTTTTTCCACCAACAGTTTAATGGTGGGATTAGTAGCGGATTTATAATTGCGCATATTTACTTCGGTGAATTGCGTATTAGGGTCTATTAATAATTCCAACGTCTGAAGGCTTACTTATTGTGAACATGGGGAGAGGACGAGGAAGGGTTACCAACTGTACCCTTCTTGAATGCAGCCAAGCCATTCAATCGCTCAAATGCTTTTTCTCTGTTTGTTCGTTTTTTTGTTTGGGACCGTTAATCATTTATCACCTGGGAGGGGGGGGGGTGGGGTATAGGGTCCGGGCATTTTTTTTTAGTCAGAATTAAATTTATCAGACCCCCCACCCATATACTCTGTTAGCGAAAATTTATCCAACCTCCCTTCCCCCAGAACGCCGAAAAATCCCTCTTTTCGGAAAAATATCCCTTCCCCGTAGACGATATATTGATTCTGCTCCCTTTACTTTTCCCCTTTCTCTATATTTTATTCAAACAGGGATTTTCACTACTTTCCTAGACGCTATAAATATCAAAGTCGTTCCCATCGACAAACAACACCTTTTGTTCGGTGATATAAAATTTTATTGACTTATGTTAATAACCTCGCTTACAAAGATTACCAAAAAATTTTTTATAACTGGAGTCACTCAGTAATCTTAACATGTCTTTGTTGGTACAGGTAATCGCACTAATTCGAGTTACATTTGCTATAAATATCCTCGTTTTCTTTTTTATCAAAATCAAGATAATTGCACGACTTTTTGAAAATTACGAGTGCTTACTCACTCCAAATTGCCTACGAAAAATCACTTCTAATTTATTTATAAATGACCTAATTTTCCAGATACCTTCACCTAAGGACGTAGAAACAAAGAAAAGGTAAAACACGTACAAAATGATTCATTCAAACCCTGCAAACATCATTGGGCGTTCGGTCAAAGCAACGTGTTTAGTCAAAGGGGAACCTTACAAATATTCCAACCTCGATTTTAACTCGGTACAAATGTTATCAAAAGGCATTTTTAGCTGAGACATAAACGTGTTCAACGGAATGCAATTTACGTTTATGCTTCCAAATTTTACATAAGACTACACAGCTGTTACTTTGAACGTGTACTATGAGGAAAAAAAATGTTATATGATGAAAAAAAACACATCCCATTTACTTGTTAAAAATATACAAAATCATATTAATTTTAAAACATCTTAAATTAAAAAATAAAGAGACCGGTACCATTGCTGTTCCTAAATACTACATGTAAAACGCCACAACCTTAATGCACGTTTAATCTAATTCCCAGATAGACAAATATTTGGATGTTAAGATGTGTGGATGTGTAAATGTGATTCGACTGAAAATAAATAATTAATACAATTATCTAAATACAAATTTAACAACAACAAGAATAACGACAAAACTACATGAAATGGAAACGAACGTACAATTTGTGGCGTAACCAGGTTCGGTAGTAAAACTCTTAACCAAAAGTAACATGGCGCTAGCAAAAGCTAACGAACGACTGACTTAGTTGATCAACTTGCAATGCAAATTATCCGAGGAATAAAAACGTTTATACTGGCGAGAGTAAAACGCTACCGGCGTTACGTAATTCTTCTACAGCCTCACGCAAAAACGCGAACTTAATTGAACAGAAGCATAACCTACAACAAGTAGTTCAGTTGTAAGAAAAACAATATAAAATAATTTCGCAGTTACTTGACGATAAACAGATATACAAATTCTAGTTGCTGCAATTGCAGACACCTACACCTCTGTCTCTGAAATTAGTGTGTTCCGGTAAAAAAGAACACCCTTTTACTTGTAAAATATATTCAAAATCATATCAAAATTAGATAAAAATAAAAACACCGGCAATATTGTACAGACATACACTTAAGGCTATTATCAGAGCGGGTTCCTGTATGGAACAAGCCACAGGAGAACATCAACTATTGACAACACCATGCAAACTGCAACCTAAAAGACAAAACCAAGGAATATTTTAGGAAGAGAAATAAAGATTACTATGACAATTGAACGAGAACACGCTGCACTAAGAGGCTGTATAGCTAGGTTTATATCGTTTCATACCACCGGCAGCGCAGCACTAATACTGCAACACACCATTCATTCCGATCATTCCTTTTTTTAAGCTTATGGCCGTGCTCTGACAAAGACTGTCCACATGCGACCGACTTTCGTCTTAGGGTTACTTGTACAACTTTGATTTCATGAAAGCGTTCAAAAGCTGGGTAACCAAATTCTGAGAGAAATGCTTTTAGGTGCACTGTGATTGAAATAAATCAGCTTGATATAACTAAATTGTTACATTCAGCCAACAAGCAGCAGGAAGCCCAGATTCAAGAGGCGAACTTAAACGAAAGAAGCTGTTCAATACCATAAATGTTACACAGCGCATGACCTTTACAGGCGTCACATAGGTCTATACTGAGTTGTTTAAATCTTAACATATCACACAGTCTGTTAAAAATTTCCATTGACAGCAATAGAACCACTTAGTTAATACAACGGCTTTAAAGTTGACGCGGCAAACAAACCAGCGACTTATACTTTGACATTGAAGATTAAAACGAACATAAAAAAGGCTGTAGAACTTATCAGACCAACCTGAGTTAATCATTGCCGGTTGTTGACTCACTGTTAGCCACGTGACTCTGCAGCAAGTTCAAGAAATCTGCGTCTTGTGATGAGGCATGATATAAAGAATCCCGACCGTTGTTATCTTTAGCCAAAGGGTTGGCTCCCCTCTCAAGGAGATACTTTACACTCTGCAGTTTGCCATGACGAACAGCGATGATAAGAGGTGTTTCACCAAAAGCTGTTTTTGACTCAATGTCCGGCACGTAGGTTAGTATACGATGAATGATATCGGGGTCACAATTTTTTGCTGCAAAATGTAATATATTACATCCATTTCCATCAACACAGGCTACACTTGCTCCCTTCTCAATAAACCATTGCACTGCATGCAATTCGCAATTCCCGACAGCCACCATTAGTGGCGTAATACCAGCGAGGGACCTTGACTCAATGTTCGGCACGTGATTATGGATAAGATCAAGGATATCAGTGTCTCCGCCCTGTGCGGCAAAATGTAACATATTCCATCCTGCTTTGTCTTTCAAGGTTACAGTTGCCCCCTTCTCAAGAAACCATTTCACCACAGGTAATTTGCCATTGAAAGCCGCTACCATTAGTGGCGTGTAACCCTCGTTTGTTTTGGAATCAACGTTTGGCAAGTGAGTATGGATAAGATCAATGATATCAGTGTCTCCGCTCGATGTGGCAATATGTAATGTATTCCATCCTCTGTTGTCTTCACAGGGTACAGTTGCCCCCTTCTCAAGAAACCAGTTCACTGCTTGTAATTTGCCACTCCCAGCAGCCACCATTAATGGCGTGTGACCCTCGCCCGTTTTCAACTCAATGTTCAGCAAGTGAGTATGGATAAGATCGATGATATCTGTGTCTCCGCCCTCTGCGGCAAAATGTAACGTATTCCGTCCGTTGTTGTCATCACAGTTTACAGTAGCCCCCTTCTCAAGAAACCATTTCACTGCTTGTAATTTACCTCCCCGAGCCGCCATCATTAAAGGCGTGCGACCCTGGCTCGTTTTTGACTCAATGTTCAGCAACTGAGTATGGATAAGATCAATGATGTCAGTGTCTCCGCCCTCTGCGGCAAAATGTAACGCATTCGCTCCGCTGTTGTCTTCACGGGTTACAGTTGCCCCCTTCTCAAGAAACCACTTCACTGCATGCAATTTGCTATTGACAGCCGCTATCATTAGTGGCGTGCAACCATCGCCTGTTTTTGACTCAATGTTAGGTACCTGTGCATGGATAAGATCAATGATATCAGCGTCTCCGCCATTTGCGGCAAAATGTAATGAATTCCATCCTCTGTTGTCCATCAGGGACGGATCCGCTCCTCTCTCAATCAAACTCTTCACCACTTGAACTTTGCCTTTAAAAGCAGCACCCATTAGCGGTGTTCCGCCTATTGCGTCTCTGAAGTCAACATAAGATGCAGAAGGAGGAGTGATGTCACTGTCTCCTTTTTTGTTGCCCTTGTTCATCGAAGTGCCGCCTAAAATCATATAATGTGAAAAGAAACGAAGAAAGGCATCAAACTCCAAGGAGGACGTAGAGACATGAGATTCATTTTGGAACTAGCAACGTCAGGAGGAAAATAAGGGAACAAGAAAATGTGTAGCAATAATAATAATGATAAGAATGACTGACTAGTATAATTATTCGGGTGACCAATAGCGCAAAAGTGGTTTCACTTACACCTAAACTATTCATTGATGCAAATATGTAGTATCAAATTTACATACAGAAACAATGAGAAAGCGTTTGCTGAATAACATTTTCTTCAATCATAATCTTGAGGCTTTCAGTCTGATTGTCCATTAAAAACAAAAACATAAAAATCAATCAATTTATGATTCTTTTTATAAGCAGCAACAATCTACAGTATAATAGACAAGTTTGCATTCTTTGAAATTCAACAGTTCAAGATGTAGTGCCAGTTGTAAGCCATAGCAGCTATACGGGGGCCAATGACCATAAAGGCTTGGCCGGACATACCAACATTTTGTGAACAAGGTGAGAAAAATGTTTTTGGGGCCACGGTTTTTAGCTAAAATGGGCTCTAACTATAACTTATAAATACAGGCGTTTAGTTTTAACTTGGAAAACTCCCTGAATAAGTTTACGACGATTAGACGAAACGCGTAAGAGAGTAAAGAAGTTTTGCAACTACTGTTCGCTGAGTGCTGGTCATTAGTTCAGTTTTAAGAAAAAATTTCCAAAAAAATATTCAAAATATTATTTTAAAAAATCGTTCTAAAGAGGCTACAATGTAATAGCACTAAAATAATATGACACACGGCTACCAACGACAAGCAAACTTGTTCGTTTCAGTCACCGTTCGAACCGACTTACCGATATGCTATTAGGAATGCGACCTCGTAATCGGAATATATAAATGATGTATGACTTTCCAATGGAATTCTTTTACCAAAATAGCTATTTCTCACTTCGTATAAAAAAAATCCGTCGCAACGGCTTGGGAATTTGTTCAAAGTACCACTTACTTTAGTGGTGTCGTGTTACAGTGTGGTTACCTGTCACGGCTACGTCTTGTTCTGACCCGCATGTAAATTTTTATGGGAAACCAGATTTGCTTCTCGTTTTGTAATTTGTCAAATCATCGATCGATGTTCACCAAATTACTCTTAAAAGGAAAGGGAAAAAGTAACTGCAGGATACATATAGTTCAAGTTTGTTTAAGACTCGCCGGCGCGTGCAATCAGGCAAAACATCAATACGGCAATAAACGAACTTATGTCAGTCAACACGGTAATCCAAGACTGGTAAAATTGGTGGCTCCTAAAGGAGCCGTTTGCTCATCAAGGAAGAAGCCCGACACTTTTCCTTCGCGTTGAACTACAGTAGGAATAACTTTTCGGAGGTGGCTAGTACATTTGCAGCACTTTGCAGCAGTCACAGAGTCCCAGCATTTACTATAACCTGACCTTTCATCGTTGTAATATGATGCCCTCCGCAATCAAACATCACCACGTGCGATGCGAAATGAAACTGTTTCCATTCCGGTGCGTAAACACTAAAGCAAACGCCGATTGCAATGGATAAAATAAAACTTCATTCACAATCTAAGGGCCTCTTCATATGAGCCCGGTTGACCGTGCTGGCCCGGTTTCCAAGATCTCGCCTTACCTTTAAATCCTTTGTAAAATTTTCGATGTGTTCATACGAGAGGGTGGCCTGGCTTACCGAGATCCCGGTCGGAAAAACCGAGATCTCGGTAAGCGGGCTGGAAAATTTTGCCACATGAACACTTCATCCCGGTTTCCAGGATGAATTCTTCGCAATTCTCGGTTTGCAGCTGACGTCATACATTTACGCAAATTGAGCGTCCGCCATGCTGGTGCTCATCTCAGGTGTGAAATTTCATGCAAATGTATCGCCATCTGTACAGTGTCCTCTTTCAAATACTTTGTTTTATGGATATTTCTGGTGGAAAAAATCCAGAATCACAAGAGAATATACTTCTAAGGATACCTGTGCTTTTGAACTCAGCGGATGGCCTAGAAAGCCACGTACGAGAGTAATATTTTAAGAAAATTTATTTAGTGAGTGTCGATCCAGTAGCCATTCGAAGCGAGCACTGAGTTCAACTCAGTATGTCTGCTCTCGATAGGAGTCTCGGACCTTCTTTCTTATTTGCTTCTGGAGACAAGTTACTGCACAAATAAGCAATTTAAAGCATTCCAAAGTCTTGAAGTGTACAACCAAATGGTGTCTGTCTTCGTAACATCGGTTCAAGGAGAAGAGATTGTTAACAAGATTGCAGTTGCGGTGAAGGTGAGATATTAGCAGCGGATGAACGATCCTCTCGTAGACATTTGGATTGTCGCAGAAAGTGGTACACAAATATACGTATACAAATATAAGAAAAAGGAACGAATACAGTACGAGAAATATACGAAAAGTTCCTCATTCATAAGGCACCGATCCCAACGCACTACCTCACAGAAATGCTTGTCTTAATCCTTAAAGAAAATTCGTTTTAATTCATCGAGGAGAGCTTCCTCCAAAAGCATGGAACCGCTTTGGGTACGGAAATAGCAGTGTCATTTGCCAATATTTTCATGGCGGAAATTGAAAAGAAAATAATCCAACTAAGCGAAACCAAACCAAAAGAATGGAAACGTTACATTGACGACGTTTGCTCCCTTTGGGATTGCGACAGTAAAGAGGTAAATCGGTTCATTAAACGGGTTAACTATTTCCACCCTACTATCAAATTCACGGCTGAAATATCAGAGAATCAACCAAATCACTTTTCTCGATACAACGGTATTCAAAGGGGAAAGATTCGCAAAAGATTCCATCTGGGACATCAAAACTCATTATAAGCCAATGAGACCTTCCAATTTACGTACTTCGCCTTGTGCCACTCACCAGGAGTAAAATATGGTTCATCACATCATTAACAACCCGTTTAACTGCAGTGATACAGCTGAAAAGGGTTGCCAAAGCCATGATAGGCGCAAAAGTAATAACTCGGTTGCGTTTCGCCAGTTTTGTTTTGTTTTTCTAATTTCGCGCCAAAACTCGTCCCCAGAATCTTCAGCCTTTTCTCATCTCGGCCAGCCCGGTCAACTGGGCTCATATGATGAGGCCCTAAATGATTGGGAAGCATTGAGTATTCGTTTCGTTACTCGCTTAATAATACACGTGTTTCGATGTCTTGCCTAAGTCACACTTTCCTTCCCAGCTGATTCATCAACAACTCAAATCAAGCAAATCTACTGCTACTGCTCGTTATTCAGTAAGTTCGCGAAGTGACGCGACATGCGTGAGTTTTCATTATGAAAATTTTCCATTCTCGACTCCCCGCTTTTTCAAACCTAAAAGTTCTTTGTTTTACACAACGATGTAATACAAAGGAAACTTATAGCACTGAACAACAAAAGCACACGAGTCGCGTATTTTTTTCGACCGTGCGCGCAAAAAAATCGTATATACGTGTCTGACTACCCTGCGTCTGAGCGTACCAAATTCGTCTGCGCAGTTAACATATACGCGAGCGGTACTGTACCTGTGAATCATTTTCTTTATACCGTTACTTCACCAGTGAACTTAGAACAATTATGTCATGTAATAAGAGGTCAGTGAACAGAACAATAGAACGTACCGGTAATGCCCAATACCGGAAGCCAAGAAGTTGGCAACCTAAATTTACGGTAATGAGGGGGTTTGCCAGGGCACAGGCGGCCCAAGCTCACGTCTCGAGAAAAAGCCAACGATTAATTCATGAAACCGTCACGCGTTGTGTGACTCGGAGTTAAGTTGCGAGAGAAACCGTTGGAAATTTGAACACGTTATAAGGAATAGTAATGGGAACGAAATATGGTCGATTTACAACAATAAATATTTCGAAATATGAACATTTTACACGTTAAATCGATAAAACTTACTCACATCCTGTGTGTCCGTCATAGTTTCTGGCGATTTCTGTCGTTTTAAGCTTGCTTTACCATCACTTTTATTCATGTCAAAAGACGAAGTCAAGGCTGCTCACTCCGATTTCGACCGTTCCACGCGGAGGTGGTTTGCGCCCCGAAAATCTTCCCTTTCGGCATTTTTCTCAGCCTTATTTTACGATCTAAGATCATTTCACCCTGGGACATGTCTCAAAACCAAAACTCCCCGTGCATTTCACTGGAAACGAGCGTTTCTTACTTGCATTTCCAAGTTCGCTTCTCTCTGGCTATGCTTTGAACAAGCAGACTGGACACGGCCGCGAAAGAGACTTGAATACGAGGTCAATTTTCTCCCTACCGCGAGTGGTACGGTCTATTAATATACAATACTTACCCCATCCCCACAGAGACACCTCACCTTTCAGGTGGCGAAATATCTCACCTTGCCATAAATTTCAAAAGAAGTGTACGCGTAGGAAACACCAATATTCCTTTCGGATTCCGACGTCAAACTTGCGAAAAGCTATGATACCTAAATATTTACCTTAGGTTCGCACTTGTAAATTTTTTCTATATTAGTATAAGCTTTTCGCCCGTGATTCTAAAAGGAACAATCAATCCTCAAAGTTCCGAAAATGAAATCTTAGAATATTCATCTTGAAACTTTGCCACTCTTAACTCTGTTCTGAATCGCTTCGCGCTCAATTTCACCGAATCTCTTCCCCTTCTTTTTTACTGCAATTAGATTAAGTATGCGTCATTGCAGGAAGATTTCGTTTCCAGATTGCAGGAAAATGCGCTTCTGGGATACTTAACTTTAAAAAGTTTCCTGGGGGAGCATGCCCCCGGACCGTCCTAGAGGTTCGGGCCTTCGGTCCTCAATTTTAAAGTGTACCTGCTTACTCAAGAGGCAGTACCCTTCCACTTTAAAAGTTAATGAAAACTCTGATAAAGCAATAGACAGAGCACCTTACAGGTACCAGTAATAGAGACGAGAATATTTACAACATCAGACAATTACACATTTTGCTTAGTGCCTTTAAGTTACCTGCTTCCCGGCCCCCATTTTCCGCAAACAAAAACAAAAGAATAATTATGCCCAGTATTGTCATCATGATGATCTTGATAAACCATCCATATTTGTTGTTTGTCCATTTTACTACCTGGTCACCACTTCCTGCAAACAAAAACAAGAGAGTTATTATGCCCAGTGTTGTCATGGTATTGATAAACCATGCATTTTTGTTGCTTGTCTATTTTACTAACTCAGGAAGACTTTAGTCCCTTGTAAGACGAAAAATATCTGTGATAATCTTGTGATGAGTATTTGGCAATACTCTTTAACTGACATTTTGTAAGATATTACTTGTGCACCTATCATATTAAGACTTATAAGGAGGTGCAGCTTAATGTTAGGTGGATCAAAAGCAAGATGGAAAGAGCAGCCTTTGCCCAATGTGCAACCACTAGTTTCTATCAAAGTAAAGCAAAGAAAAAACATCTTCTTAGCCATCTACATCCTCCTTTTCCATTTGCTCCTCCTCCAATTTCCTTTGTTCCTCCCCCTTCTTTCTTTGTTATTCTACCTTTAGTTTATTCCTCAGCCTTTCCTTTTGCTGTCCCTTCTTTTTCTTTATTGTTAATTGTATATTTACCTATTGTAAAAAACTAGTCTCTAGCTGAAAATTCTAACTTGTTTAAAAGCAACTGCGGTCTGCGGAGTCCTCATGGCAAGCAAATGAAAAACTCAAGGTGTCCTGGATTCCTTTTTGTTATTTGCATACAAGAAGTTGAGCATTTTTACGCTTACATTGTTTACTCATTCCTAGGGGCGTAACATGCAAGCAGTCATTTGCACATGAAAAGTCAAGTGTGATGACCCAAAGATTGAAATTTATGTTTTCCGGTTTTAATTGGATCACAGCCGGTGAAAAGGTGTTTGGACGAATTACAGACGCTTTCTCTGCTTTCCCTTATTTAAACTGTTCATAAAACACTTTGTATTTTTCTGAAATACAATTCAGGATATAGAATAAAGAACATGAGACGATTGTCGCCTTAAAGGATGTTTATCAGCTGACACGTATGTCTCAATAAGCTAACGCATTGTTCCCTTTTAAAGCTTGAATATTCCGAGCAATTGAAAGAAACTTTGTTCCAATTTAATTTTCACTCAAGGTAAAGCCTATGTGGCTTTTGTGGTGGCGTTTTATTATCACCTTCAAATTTTATTTTTGCTCTCACAAGCATATCTTGAAGGGATTTTCCCTTTCTGTAAGAGATGATCAGAGGTTTTGTAAAAATTGTTTTCAGCAAGGGCTGATTGTGTATCAGACTCCAATGTTCCATCAATATTTGTCTTAAATTTCCAACTGCCGGGTGGTAATTGGTGGCAAAAGGCATTAACTTAAATGATTACGACTCTGACTTTAAGTTTTTATAAACTACAGAAAGTGTTGTCAGTTTTACTCTCTATCAGTTATAGTTAACTTGCAACTGTAAGAAAAAAGGAAGCTCTGAGAACAACAGCAGTGTTTTGATGTAGCTATAGCTTTGTGGTGAAATAAACAAATTCTCTTAGAATAACATTCTTTTTTACTGAAATTAGATTGAGTATGCGTCATTGCAGGAAGATTTCGTTTCCAGATTGCAGGAAAATGCGCTTCTGGGATACTTAAGTTTAAAAAGTTTCCTGGAGGAGCATGCCCCCGGACCGTCCTAGAGGTTCGGGCCTTCGGTCCTCAATTTTAAAGTGTACCTGCTTACTCAAGAGGCAGTACCCTTCCACGTTAAAAGTTAATGAAAACTCTGATAAAGCAATAGAAAGAGCACCTTACAGGTACCAGTAATAGAGACGAGAATATTTACAACATCAGACAATTGTACATTTTGCTTATTGCCTTTAAGTTACCTGCTTCCCGACCCCCATTTTCCGCAAACAAAAACAAAAGAATAATTATGCCCAGTATTGTCATCATGATGATCTTGTTAAACCATCCATTTTTGTTGCTTGTCCGTCTTACTACCTGGTCACCACTTTCTGCAAACAAAAACAAGAGAGTTATTATGCCCAGTGTTGTCATGATATTGATAAACCATGCATTTTTAAGTGATAAGTATTTGGCAATGCTCTTTAACTGACATTTTGTAAGACATTACTTGTGTAACTATCAGATTAGGACTTATAAGGAGGCACAGCTAAATCTTGGGTGGATCAAAAGCAAGATGGAAAGAGCAGCCTTTGCCCAATGTGCAATATTACAAGGAGAACTACCACTAGCTTCCATCAAAGTAAAGCAGAGAAAAAACATCTTCTTAGCCATCTACATCCTCCTTTTCCATTTGCTCCTCCTCCAATTTCCTTTGTTCCTCCCCCTTCTTTCTTTGTTATTCTACCTTTAGTTTTTTCCTCAGCCTTTCCTTTTGGTGTCCCTTCTTTTTCTTTACTGTTTTCCTCTTTCTTTTGTCCCTCTTAAGATTAAGAAAAAGCTTACATTAGTGACCTTATAAGGAGGTGCAGCTTAATTTTAGGTGGATCAAAAGCAAGATGGAAAGAACAGCTTTTGCCCAATGTGCATTACAAGGAGAACTAACTCTAGTTATTGTCATTAATTCAATTATTCACCTCTTGTAAAAAACTAGTCACTAGCAGAAAATTCTAACTTGAACCTGCCGCAAAAAAACTTGAAGTAAGGACTTCCCCCTTTCAATGAGTTTTCCACAAGTGACAAGATCAAGAGGAAATGTCAAGCAAATTAATTATTGTCAGGCTAGCAGCCAGTTCAAAATTAGTAATTAAAACCAGCTGGAGAGAATTGGTAACTATAAGAGGTACAATAACTATTTTGTAAGTTTCAAAAAAGTTTAGTTGCCAACTATTTCATTTTTGTCATGCACATCTTCTCTGTTTGCTTCCTCACACTTACTATCTTCCATGTCTGTGCAATTATGCTCCCACTAAATCAAGCCCTTCTTTGATTACCGGTTATATTATTTTTGGTGACAACTAACTCATATCCTTCTTCATTGCTTCAAGGCTTTGTCTACACACTAAATCTCTTTCTGGAGTTCATTCAAATAGTGCTTTGATTAATAAGTGATGGGATAATAAAGTTATGCAGATACAGTGTATTTCCATACATTTCCCTATAAGTTGAAAGTAAAGCAGAAACAGCTATAGAAGTTCTACATACACTAAATAGCTTCATGCCAATCAGCAATTACATACAGGTCTTTGCTTTACCAAATGTAATAGTTTAGAAACATAAATTTCATATTAAGTTGAATTGCATAATTAACAAATCGAGAGACTGGGTCGAGCTGGCGTCGAAGATGGACGTGTGTTTTTAGTCGGCGCGCTCGAGAGGCAAATTTTGGGGGCTGTCCTGGTGTACCGGTACACGGGGGAATTCCTATTGTTTTCATATCCATACATGGAGTTGTGACGCAGTTCGTTAATGTTTCGTTCCTTTGTGTACCGGTACACGAGGACACAACCAAATTTTGAGTTAAAATGCACGAATAACTTGAGTATGTCAAATTCTGGAAACAAGAAAGGAAGAAATTAAGTAGCTCATCAAGTACTGACACCGCCTCTTCCACCGAAGGCAAAGGAGAAGAAGCATTTGAATCAGAAAAGTCTGCAGCAATGGCGACCAACGAAAGCATCAATGAGAACCCTTCTCTGGTCGACGTATGGAAAGTTCTTACGGAAATTAAAGCCAATACCGTGAAGTTGGTACTTGACGTGGAGTTGTAAAAGGCAAATTATAACGAGCAAAAGACAGTCTATATTCTACAAAGAGCCAGGTAGACAACTCAGCCACAGAATATATTGCTGTTAATTCCAAATTAAAACTCCTCGAAGAACAAGTATTAACGTCCAAGAAGGAGCTGGAGGAAGTTAAAGGAAGACTCTACGATGTTGAAGGTAGTCACGATGACTTGGGAACAATATACCCGTAAATTTAACTTAGCGATACATGGAATCCCCGAGTGCGAAGAAGATAATGTTGAGGATGTTATTAATTTTGAAGGTCAACTTAACACGCGGTGACATTGACATTGTTCACAGATTGAATACAAAAAAACAAAACCAAAACAAGACCGATGATCGTCCGTTTCAGTAATTACAACGTAAAAAGTCAACTTTTTAAAGCTAGGACAAATCTACTAAATGCAACTTTACATGAACTAAGAGCGGATATCTTTATCAAAGAGAACTTAACTGCATGGAGGGTTACCGGTTACCTCGCCACCAGGGAGACTCGCCACCAGCGAACTCGCCACCAAGGAACGATCTCGCCACCAACGTACTCGTCACCAAGCGAAGTCTTCTCGCCACCAACCACCAGTAAAGAGATAAACTAGAATAAAGTAGTTGAGGAGAGTAGGATGTTCGAACGAGTACAATTCAAATCGGCCGATACGTTTGTGCACTTGTCTGTATTTAAATTATGATCTTCAGCGACGTGTTAGATGTGTTCCGTTCCTAACTCATTGACATCAAAACGTATCGCGTTTGTCTTTTGCACGTAAGCGAGGAGAAATTGCAAAACTCGATGCGAGGAATAAAAACTTACTTCGGTTTCGAACGTGCTATCGACAACATACATTTATAAAGTTTGAGTACAGACAAGCGAACAAACTTATCGGTTTCGAACGTGCTTTCGACAACATACGTTTATAAAGTTTGAGTACAGACAAGCGAACAAACTCATCAGCCGAACATCCTACTCTCCTCGACTAATCTCTTTATTGGTGGTTGGTGGCGAGAAGACTTCGCTTGGTGGCGAGTACGTTGGTGGCGAGATCGTTCCTTGGTGGCGAGTTCGCTGGTGGCGAGTCTGCTTGGTGGCGAGGTAACTGGATACCTTGCCAAGACCCCGTTTAATTACACGATCACAGCTCAGACACCGCTTGCAAAATGTGATGATTATCGATTTCAGAAATTGATTCTTCAGTTTCCAGCATTAGGAAAAAAATATCGTATCGCAAGCATGTTCATCAATTAACCCGAGCAGTAAGTACGCCTCGAGATGTTGAGAGAAGAGAGAGTGGCTACACAGCTAAAGCAAAGCTTCAACTTGGTTTGTTTTCAGTTTCTCAAAGTGTTACAGAAAGGATATAAAAGTTATCCCACAGAGAATAATTTCTTCATAGCCTTGGCATTTTGAAAAACTGCTCTAGTTCAATCATGTTCTATGACATCTAAATCACTAATTTGCAGTATTCACTGACCAGCCCTATTCTTTGTATTAGAGTTTATTGACAGTTATGATTAGATGACATGCTTTGCAAAGTTAACTCACCTTGAACAGACTTTGTTTGTTCATTCCCATCAGTTCTTCTTCTCTTTAAAGAGGTGTTTGGGGCTTTTTCTGTGGAGAAAGGGGAGAAATATCACATTATGGAATGCTACCTTGTTTGGAAACCTGCAAATAGAATTCCATTTAGAAGACAAGAAAAAGGTAAAAAAAAAGTATTGTTTCAATGTTACTTTCTGTCCTTAAAATCAATCTTGCCTCCTTTTTGCAAGAGGAGGCTTTAAGTGACAATGTTATGAGAAATAACATGTTGATCAATTCTGGGTATTAAAGGGATTAAAACAAAGCAACAAAATAGGAATGTTACATAAAATAAAAGGAAAAAGTTTAACATCCCTGAGGAGTCCCAGTCCCTCCCCTATAGTCCTTCCTTGTTGTTTTATCCAGGACGTTTTCCCCAACCCCCCTTCCCTCTTCATATTTCATATTGGTTGAAATACATAAATTGCTGATTGGTGATATATACCTTCAACAGCTGTACCTGTTGCTGTCCAAACTTCTTTTGTATTTCTCTGAGCTTGTTTTCTTGAAACATATGCAGCTGCACCTTCAACAATGAGTATAGATTAACAAGATTTTAATACTCCAAAGTGAACCAAGCAGTCACATGTTCAAAAGCCACACAAAACTCACAACTCCGCATGGGCATATTATTATTAGGTCATTAGAAGCACCTCATTGGGATTAGTTCATGTACACATGCGTATGTTTGCTGCTTATAGATATGGCTCACTAAATTATGCGTGCATACTTCCAATAGTATTTAGTCACAGTATCTGGATCTAATGAATACGAAAAAATATAAATTATGCTGTCATTAAATGAAAGACCCAAATGTGTAACATATTTACTATGTTACTGCTAAGTAGAGATGAGAGAATATTTTGCCTCCTTTCACCTTCATTAGAAAAAGTCAGAAGAGTGAGAAGTGTTGTGGAAGAAAGAGTAAGGCAAGCATAAACATACTGGTATTGTCTGATCCAAGTGCTAAGTGAACCATAAGCCAACAGGAATACTGCATGTAAATTAAGCTCTTCTTTGATTACCAGTTATATCATTTTTGGTGACAACCCCGTCATATTGAGTTTACTCAAATAGTGCTTTGATTAACGAGTGTTGGGGTAATAAAGTTTTACAGGTATTTCCATACATTTCCTTATAAGTTGAAATTAAAGCAGAAACAATTAGAGAAGTTCTATTATATTTAATAGCTTGAACCCCAATCAGCAATTACACAATGGTCTTTGCTTAACCAAATTGAAGAGCAATAGATACTGCATTTCCTTGAATAAGCACCTGAAGGCATGAATTATTTAACGTTTTGGTTAAAAGGAGAGGCACTTAGTGGAAGGAAGTCAAGGGTGGTGTTTGGTAAAAGACTTATAAGCTGTACTGATTCAGCAGTAGTTGAAGCTTAAAAGTTATAAATAAAGTGGTAATAGAATCAGGTTTTCCTTTTATTTAGGAAAGTGGGGGAGAAGTGGAGGGTGATTTTTCTAAGGGTGAGCCTATTGCACATATTGGCCTCAGGGGAAGGTGCTTCTTAGAGAATGGACACTTGTATGAGGAAATGCAATAACTGGTCATAGTGTTAGACTGGAAGATTTTTTTGTTCTTTTAAGAACTTTTCTGCAGCATACTTAATTCACTGATTTGTTCCTCACAATTTTCTCGACAGTTACAGTCTTATTGCAATATTCCTGAATGCAATGTGCAATGTAAAGTTTACTCACCTGGCACTCACTCATTTCTTAAATTTGTGGCTAAAGGGAGGGGTGCTTATTGGAAGGAATTCACTTAATCTGTAGAGTGTCTAGTAAGGAACAATAAACTGTGCTGATTGTAGTTGAAGCTTAAATAATTATAAATAATAATAAAGTGGTAATTGAATCACGTTTTTTTTTAATTTAGGAAAGTGAGAGAGAAGGGTAGGGTGATTGTTCAATGTGGGGGGGGGGTCTTGTTTGATAAATTGGCTTAGGGGGAGATAGCTTCTTAGAGCATGGAGCATGGGCACTCATACAGAGAAATACAGAAGTTGATCACAGAGTTAGACTGAAAGATGCTGATAATCCTACTGTTTCAGCAATAAAAAGTTTATTTACCAGATTTTTTTTATTCTTCTAAGAACTTTTCTGTGGCATACCTGATTTGCTAATTTGTTCCCCATAATTCCCGTGACAGTCAGAGTCTAATTACAATATTCCTAAATGTAACATGTAAAATTTACTAACCTGGTATAGACTCTCCTTGTTTATTCCTCTCTGTTTCTTCACAGTCTAGAGAACTGTGTGGAGCTTTACCTAAAGACGGTAAAGAGAAAAAAAGAATTTATCTGACCAGTCCAGCCAAAGCTCCCTGAAAAGTGTCATAAATTAATTCAGAGTACCCTCCTAGCAGGAGAGTTAAAGTTAAAGTTAAAGCTACTGTACTGTACTACCAAATATTTCAGTTCCTAATAAAATAATATTACTGAGTCTAAAAACAGACACCAACCAAGTTAACCATGCTCGTTCAACTTTCAACAGTAGCTGCTTTATGTCTTGCATGAAATAACTGCAGAAAGTATTTTCCATGCAAATGCTCTTTACCAAGTACATATTTAAAAACTCTGCAACACTATTCCTAATCTTGTGGGTAAGATTAGTACATAACAAGTTTACCTTGCCTGAGTATTTACCATTTTTTAACTAATTGTCTGATTTAGGTCTATAAAGAATTTATGGTTATCATGGGTCCAAGTTGACTCAAGGCTGATTTAACTTTTTACCAGACTACCTGGTTTACCAGTTATTAGACAAGTTAAGGCTGAAACATTTAAATTTAACCCATTGACATCCGATGCGCCCTCATGCACCCAGAAGTAAAACCCCTCTGAAATTCCAATGCGCCCTCATGCACCCTGTCAAAATTGGCTTGTTTTGATTGGCTGTAGCTTAGAAACAAAACTCTCCTGGGTATTGAAAAGCAGTGAAACGTAACATGCAAAAAATAAGCTTTCGTTTGAGACCAAACTCACTATTACACGTTTACCGTGCGATTTTTTACAAATTTTTCAAAAATATGTCGTGGTCTTAGACATGGCTTCTGGAAGAATTGATGAAAGTTAATTTTCATCCGATGAAGAGCAAGAAGTCTTCGCCGGATTTATCATCGAAGAAATTGAAAAAAGCGACAAGCTCGTCAAGCACAGGATGAACAAAACTTGCTTCGAAATGTGGATGACGAGATGGAAGACTTTTTCGACCTATGGTCGCAAGAAAGGGGAAGCGATTCCGATGTTGAGCTATACGCTAGTGAAGAGTAAGAAGAAAGCGACGCTAGTAGTGATGAAGAATCTGCCGCAGAAGAAAGCCGACCAAATGCTCTTCAATGGTCTAGCTAATTGCGACAAATTAATGTTGAGGAATTCTCCATTCGTCGTGGCCCGACCAGAGATCTCGGAGAAAATGCAACTGCCAAAGATTTCTTTAATGTATTTATCGACGATGCTTACATTGACGAAGACGTCCGATACACCGTCGCGTACGCTCGTTCGAAAGGGGATCGATCGTTCACATCTACCCAAGCGAAAATTTCAGCGTATCTCGGGCTAAACATTCTCATTGGAATCCATGAACTTCCTCAGCTGGCAATGTACTGGGATTCTGACGAGTTTGTTGGAGTTGATTGCTTAAAAAAACGATCCCAGAGCACCGCTTCATGACTCTCGGGAAATATTTACATCTTGCTGACCCGACCGCAGAAGACCGAAACGATCTCCTCTGCAAAGTTTGCCCCCTTGTAACTCGCTTGGAGCAAAAGTTTGCCTAAGCGAAGAAAATATATGCATTGTTCAAAGTGAAACTTTTCATTTAGGCGTAAAAATTGGTTTGTTCTTGCTCATGACTCGCAAAAAGTAATTTTATAGCTGCGCCTTGTGACGTGTCGCGATGTCGCTATGGCGGGCAAATTCAAAATTGACCCGCGTTAGAAAGTTTAGGATTCCTTTTGTTGAGGAGGAATTTGCGATCTGTCTTTTGGTGTTGTATTTGAGGGAAACCTTTTTACATAATTCTGATGGAATAAGAGTGCAAAAGAGAGTCATCATACTGATAAATACTTTCAAAGCTGAAGGCAACCTTGCCAATGACTCGCTGTACATCATGAAGTTGAATCCGTTCTCTAGCTTTAGAATTTTTTTTGAGAGAGCCTGATGCTCAAATTGAAAATAAAATTTGACAGGGGAAAGTATATTATTTAATATGCAACTTTGTGCAGTTTCCCTTCAGTAGAGTGAAATGAAGACCTTAAAATCTTAAATTATTTTGGCAGTGGTCTGTGTGTTCACTGTAGCAGCCATTTTCTCTGGAATTTCAGGGGGTGGTCTGAGCTCTAAGGTGTGGGGCTCAATGGGTTAAGCAAATTTACCAAAGACAAGGTTCTTCATCTTTATCACAAGACTCTCACAAGGCTCCTCCCAGCTGTACTTCTCCAAGTACTTTTCACGTAAAAGTCTTGACTCTGAAAGTCGCACGCCTCTCTCTTTCTGACGGACATGCTTGATTTCTTTGGCCCAGTCTTTAGGATTGTCAGAGTCTACCACACTCTGTGAGCCTAAAGGCACTTTACAGGCAGACCACTGACAAGTACAGGCAGACCAGCAGATAACGCTTCCAGAGCTGTTATTCCAAAACCTTCTGTCCTGGATGGCATTATTGCAAGATCCACTTCACAGAATAAGTTTACCAGCACTTCTCTGTTATCATCAAAGCTGCAAACAATAAGCTGATTACGACCAATGCCATCATGGAGCAACTTTTCTGCCACAATATCTCCTTTTCCTCCACCTGCACAGACAAACTTGAGTTTGTAGGATTCATCTTTCAACTCAGCAATTGCTTTGGCAGCTACGTCGTACCCTTTGACATTGAAATCTTCACAGCTGTCACCACTTCCAACCACAAGAATACGGAATGTTCTTCTTTCTTCAGTGGCTTGCTCTACTACCAAAAATTCAGAAAATGCTTGGAGGAAATCCTTAATTTACACCCCCGTCAACAAGGACTAACTTTATTTCTACTTACGTAAGATCGATAGCTAAAACTTTTTGCCGGATTTTCTGTTTTAGAGGAGAGAAACCAAAAACATGTGATAGACCTAACATAAAAATATTGTCCAGTTTATATCATATTTTCTTACCTTTATTGCTGTTATCAAAAGAGAGAAGCAAGGTCCTAATGAAGTTTACCGTTAGCCGTTGAATGGCCAAAACATTTAACCGTTTGGCGTAGAAATGGACAAATTTTAATCGTTGTCGTAGAAAAGGTTATTCGTAAAAATTTCTCCCATTTTCGATGTGTAAGTTTGAATGTGTCAAAATCTTAGACTTTTGCGTGTCTCGTCTTGTGGCCATCGCACAAAAACGCAAAATTACTCAGTTTCTTGACTCTAAAGATAAAAGCGAGCAAGTATATGTGTTTTAGAATGATGAAAATTAATTATTAACCTTTCCAAAATGATTAAAATTAATTGTTCATATTTCGGCTAACCGTAGCAGAAAGAAATGAAGCGTTTGCCTAAAAGCCTTAACTCCATTATCACCCTCTGTTAAATACAAGTGTTAATTTGGTGTTGGGTACAAACAAAGCGAGAGAAACGATTCTGCAGCGCGCCGATAACAAATTTTCCCCTTATTTCAAACAGCTTTAATTCAACTTTTCATTTCGGCGGCTAAAATGAAATTTATTTTCTACGACTACAAAAGAAAAAAAAACGAAACACCACATACTCTTTCCGGATTTCAAAACAAAAATGCTCAGGAACTCTCCATTTTCTGTTTAAATTCAAACTGCGCCGACTTTGCCTGATTGAAATTTTCTTTCAAAAATACCAAATTTTTCCTCTGTGAATGATAAAAGACCACAATACGGAAGCTCAAATCTAGTACATAACGATCGGTAGGAAATTCATTGGCTGTTCCTTAGCCAGTTTCCTGTTAGCGTTTTCCTTTTAACAGGATCATCACGTTGTAACAATTAGCAATCATGGTTTTCTCGCAAGTCCCTTGCCGGTGTTCATGTTGTCATCGACGTTGTCGGCCTTCCTGGAAATTTACTGGTCATAGCAACGATTTGTATGGAGAGCAGATTTCATGTGATGCGGTATGTTCTACTTGCCTGCCTAGCAGGATCATATATTCTCTTTTTGATCCTAGGCAACTCGCCGAGTATCGCAAGCACTGCCCAAGAACGATGGTTGTATGGAAAACAATTTGTAAACTGCATTACCTTGTTTCAGGATATTTCTACTTGAATACGGTTCTTCATTGCATAGCTGTGTCATGAAGGTATAGCGCCATTGTAAAATCCCCTTTGATGGTTCCATTACTAGATCAAAAGTCGTGGTAATAGTACTGATATGGACTGTCCCTGTTCTTGTAGTTGCCACCGCTTTTTTCAGACAAGCAGAATCTGCCTTTATCATTCGAAACTGTTCTTTTGCGGGGCAGCTTCAGATGCCCCTCCTTTTCATGCTACCGCTGCGGCATTCATCATGTTCGTTGTGCCAATTTCAATAATCTTTTTCCAAACCTGGAGACTTTTTAAAACAGTTAACGCTATCCAATCTAACGATAAACCAGTCATATTTTTGGAAAGCAGAGCTGCAAGTTCTAACAATGGTCCAAGCCAGCACCAACATGACGCGAGAAGAATCATAGATCGGAAGGCAGCTGTCGATGTTTGCATCATAATGGCGGCGTTTATCTTCCTGAGTGGACCGATTTCGTCCTTCATTATTTCTTCAAGGTAGAATTTCCATCCGAAGTTACGCAAACCACTCGATGTATTTACTGCATTAGCTCTGTGACCAATCCAATCATTTATTCTGTTCGCAAGAGGGAATTTCGACGCTTAAGCAAATGGGTGGACAGTGTGCCATTTCATTTGCTTCTGGTACGGACAATGTAATTGGTGTGCACGATTTACGGCTAGCCCCTACAAGAATCCCTTCAATTGCGGAATCAAGAGCTACACAGGTTGCCCAACACACGGACTCTTGTAGTTCTCGGACTTTGAATGTTCCTGAAGGAATTTAAATGAATCTCCAGAGATGCCATCCTCTGTGTTGCGGCAAACACAAAATATATATACAAATAAAGACGAAAGAGCTTGCTCGAAACGAGATAAACAACAAAACAAGCGAAAACAACTTACATATCAGTCCCTATACGCCGGTGGCTTGAAATCAAACTTTATAAATTAACTTTGGATGAACACCGAACATGAACAGGCGATTAATGAAAGCGGGAGAGAGTAACTATTTGAAGGAATTTAATGGCACAAAGGCCAACTGTAACACAAATGTCACGCAAGTTTAAAAGTCACGCATTTACATGGCTCCCTTGAAACACCAACGTGTTTCACTAAAAATAGGCTAATTGGCTAAGGGGAAATAAACATTATAAAAAGTCTCAGTGTTCATGCTTAAAACTATCAAATGATCAGCAAAGTCAATGGCTCCTCGGCTGGGATTCACCCCGGAATTCGCTCTCATAGTCATCTTTAGACATCAACAGGACAAGCTTCTGAACTGGACGCTCCGGGAACTTCACTTCCTTGACTCTCCTTCCCTTCTTATCAAGACAGGCGTCTGCTAGAGCTAACTTCACCGTGCGAACGCGTCCATCAGAACTTCGGTTGACTGCACAAACACGCACCAGCTGCCAACGACTGCGGGGAGCGTTATCATCTTTAATGATAACGATGTCGTCCACACCCACATCTTTCCGGGACATTGTCCACTTCTGACGTTGTTGTAAGCTAAGCAGGTATTCTTTCCGCCATCGTGACCAGAACTCGTAAGCCAAATGTTGGACACGCCTCCAACGCTTTCTACAGAACTTGTCGGCTGCCGGAAAAACACCAGATGGCAACAGAACAACTTTCGTCTTCATAGTGAGCAAGTGGTTGGGTGTCAAGGGGCTTAGCGAACCTGGGTCATTTAAGAGATCAACTGTCAACGGACGGCTATTAATGATGACCTCGCACATGAACGTTCTAAGCGACTCGTCGTCCAGGAAGTGGGGACAGGACACTTCTGACTGTACAGATCTGCCGCTCCCAAACTCCACCCATGTGACTTGAAGATGGAACATTCATAGCGAAGGCGAACCAATCACAATTCTTCTGAAGTAATTCTGCTTTAGTTTTGTTCGTGGTCGAGTTCTGCAAGCGCAGCCTTCAACTCATGCTTGGCGCCAACAAAATTCGTTCCCTGGTCGCTTCGTAGTTGGCGAATCGGCCCTCTGCGGCATATAAAACAACGAAGCGCATTTATAAAGGCATCCGTTTCAAGTGAAGTGGAAGTCTTCAAATGAATGGTTCTTGAAGCTAAGCATGTGAACAGAACTCCGTACCTCTTCATTTCTTTTCTGCTTTCTTTGATGGAAAAGGGGCCAAAGTAGTCCACTACACAAAACGTGAAAGGTGGAGCAGGTTCAAGTCGGTCCTCTGGCAGATCTGCCATCTTCTGCTCTACCACTGCAGAACGCATCTTTCTACAGACAACACAGCTCCAGATGTAGCTTCCAACTGCACTTGTTCCACCCACGATCCAGTAACCATTGGCTCTTATCTCATTCAAGGTCATGCCCCACCCTTGATGCTTTATCTTCTCGTGAAAGTACCTGATAATGAGGGTAGTCACGTGGCTTCTTCGAGGTAGGATCACAGGGAACTTGACTTCAAACGGGAGTGAAGCATTTCTAAGGCGGCCGCCAACGCGTAGAATTCCCTGCGAGTCAAGGAAGGGATCTAGCTTATATAGGGAGGATTGCTTCGGACTAAACTTTATCTCTGGTGGTGCGGCCAATCTGTCTTCGAGGGATTTAACATGTTGTGAGGACTTCAGCGACTTAAGCTCCTCAGGAAAGGCGGTACACTGGACGGACTTGATGATTACATTCTCTGCTTCTTGAAGATCTTGCACTTGAAGCATGGCCTTCTTATTGCTGACCTTGTGCTCTGCAAAGGCTGGCTCTCGTAACCTTTGAAGATACAGAAGATTTAAGGCAATGGCTCTTCTGGCACGGAACCAATCAGAAAAGTACTCCAAACGGTCTGTAATCTTCAGCTCCTTCTTCGTCGACATTGTAGCTAAAGCGGTGACTTTCCTGACCTCAGGGTCACATGGAAGTACTTGGCTCGGATCTGGCAAAACTTTCTTATCGAAGGGCCATTCATTCTCCTTCTGCCACAAGAATGCAGGTCCCGTAGACCACTTCGAAGTAACGAGAGCATTTGGACTGAGACCGCGGGAGGCATCATCTGCCGGGTTTAGCTTAGTTTCAACGTATTTCCACTGATCCACTGAAGTCGAGTCTTGAATGAGCTGAACTCGATTGGCAACGAAAACATGGAATCTACGACTTTCATTGGCAATGTAGGCCAAAACAACCTTGCTGTCAGACCAGAAGAACTCTTGGACGTCATCAAGGCTTAGCTCCTGACGTATCTGTTGGCTTATCTTCACAGAAGTCACCGCGGTCTTTCAATGCTATACGAAATTGGAAAGTGTCTGACTGAATACACCACTGAGCACCGAGTGCTCGTTC